AAGACTTCACAATAATGCATCTAATTTTGTTGCAACTTATTTGTAATTTTAACCAATTCTCATGCCATTTTGGAGAACACACATTGAGGCGGTAAATGGCAAGGCCACTTTAGTCGGGCTAAGAGTTGGTGGTGTTGATTATGAAATGGATATAGTTCATGCTGAAGGAAATAAAATCATGCAAGGTGAGGTGTCGAGACTTTCTGAATGGAAACACCATTGTTGAAGGGTCGGTCTTTATGCTCATACGGTCATACCACATGAAGGAGCTGCTTTCAGAGTTCAATTTTAATGAAAGTTAATGTTGCTATATTTGGTGGATAGTTATCTCTTGGTTTTGAACGCTTTTGAATGCAGCTCTACGATTTAATGTGATCCAAACACCTTTTAACATTGCATATCGATGATATTTTGTCATTTGTTGCCTTTATGATGGATTAGTATTATGTATTTTCGATACACTTTTAGAGATGCGACCAAATGTATGTTTTAGTGGTCTTATGAGATGGGAAAATGTATGGATGAGATTTGATACATTTTGAACTTTAATTTTTTAAGCAAAATAAAAAAAAAAAAATATTTGAAGATTATCGACTAAATTTGGGCTGGCTGTGCGTGCACAGCCGAAAGCCCACTAGTTATATAACTATGCAAATATCTAAAATTTTATATATCTTTATTGAAAGATGTGAAGTCACCTAAAATTTTTATAACTATTTTGTAAATAAAACATGTCTAAAATTATTTAAAAAATCTTGTCTACAATATATTATTCAATTTCCAGAAGATGATGATAAGTATAAGTTTGAATTTTAAAATCCACGTGAATATTATTTTTTAGATCCGTGTACTATACAAATTATTCATTATGTTAATTTCATGTGAACTTTAAATTGATTTATTAATATTATTTGATCGTCTCATTTTGTTTTACCATATTTTCGTGGAGATTTAACAAAGTTGATTGCATTTATAAAATGATTTGGATATTAACATACAATTTATAATGGAGTTTTTAAAATTGTGTACTATTGACAAATAATATACTATTATTAAATATTTCTTTTGAATGCACAATTATTGAGACTGGGAATTTGAAAATTATTTTACCTTTTGAAACCGAGTATAAAAAACAATAGATTGGTCAACATAATTGATAAACATTACCAAGTTTATTATCACACGTTCTATATAAAAAAGTATGATGATTAGTGAAAAATAATATTTAAATAATAACATTCAAAATTTGTTTTGAAATGTATAAATATAAAGACCGATATTCTAGAATTTTTATTACCTTTTGAATTGAGATTTTATAAATATATAGATTGAGATTTTAATATTCTTAGTTGTTTTTATGAAAAAAAATAAAATAAAAAAGTTCACACTCTTAGCTGGAATTTTTAAATAATAAAATTAATTAAAGCCCAAAATTTAATGCAACATTCAATGTTATATGATTTTTTAAAGATAAAAATTAAAAAAAAATAATGAAACTTACTATTTATAAGTTGCATTGAATTATCTCCTATTTTTGTGCTACTATTTTTGTTAAATGGTAATTCTTATTATATATATAGATTTGGTAATACTCACGAATGATTATTATACATTACAATTCCACATTTATATCCTTATGTATAAATCATAAATGCATAGTTCTTCCAAGTTTATGTGTCAATTTATGTTTTTTTTTTTTTTTTTT